TTTTGTAGTCAGACCCTACACTGCCCCCCGCCACCGCCGCCACCACCACCACCCTTTTTTTTTTAAGATGGCCAATGTCTTGATTTTAGATATAAAATTTGAATGTCGGGTGGAAATAATCACCAAAAGTGTTACTGAGGAGGAAAGACCTATAATATACTGAGGATTAGTGATGGGAGGGGGCACAGTATTTACTTTGTTTTGCAAATTATCAGATTATTTTCAGAACTCTTGTTTCTATACAATTGAAAATATTGGGGTTTTTTTTACAAGTTTTTACAGAAGTTATGTCCTATTTTGTTACATTTCCTGAAATCCTTTTTTATTTTCCAAATTGTTTGACAGAAGTTTTAATTAAATACTACTTCCTTCAGAAGAATAAGGCTGCTTTAGTCTGATTGTGCTCACAGCGTCTTTCTCTTTAATCCTCCCCCACCCCCACTTCTACTTTTCTCTAACCAATTTCAATATTACCAAGGACCTTTCAATCAAACTGACATATATTCAAAACAGCTAACTAAAATTAATACATTCTGAATTTATCCTGTGATTTGAATATTTATTAACTAACACAACCCCTTGAAAGCTAGCGACCTGATATAATGGGAAGGAAAAATCTTTCTCTCTCCTTCCAAAAGCAAATTTTCTGGTAAATTGTCCTATAGAGTGACAGAAAATGTTCAGTCCTCTTTGCTAATGAATCTGTCTTACAGAGTACATGGCATGCGGCTTGAGAGGTAAATGATGTTTTAATGTTGCAGCTCAGAATTGAGAAATACCTTAATGAATTTTTGGAGCTTTATAAATTCAAGAGCTGGCCATATGAAAGCTCACGTGACTTGTTTTACAAAGATGGTAATTGTTTGGATCCCCTGATTAGAACGGAACAAAACATTGTTATTACAACAGTTTATACTAAGCCCACAGATAACAAAACATTTTTACTGCCAAGTAGTCATCACCAAAGGCATGTAATTAGCAACTTGCCTTCAACTGGCTTGAAATATACTACTACCATGCATGCAAATAGTAGGACTTTTCAGGATAAGGTATTGAAAATGAAACAAATTACTGAAGAGAAACTATAATTGTTCTCCATTTAAAAGCTAAAATTTCTAAGGAAAACTGTCCAAGCATGGCTGCTTTCCCACACTATTTGCTACAATATAATCCTTACATCTTCAAAAATGAAGCACAGTGTAGTAAAACAGAGAACATGTTTAATGTAACAAGATTATAGGGCTTGACCTGTTTTCTTCCGCACCAGCTTCTTAACTGATTAATTTTTAACTGCCTGAGTGTCAGTATGAATGCCTAAAATCACATTCTCATCTTAGTTAGTTGCATTTACTCAATTGACATCAACGAGGTTGCTGGTGTACCAAAGAAGAGAATCTGGCCCTTAGTCTTTTACTGTGCAATTGCATGTATTGGCCTCAAAACCAGACACATATATTATTATAAGAAGTGATGAGTTCTGGTGATCTGAGCCCAGCTCTGGAAGGCAAGTTCTAACTGGAACCTAGACAATGAGTCCCTCTGTGAATTCTGGCAAATCATGGGTTAATCTTTGTCTCACTTCCCCCCTCCTCCCTGCGTGTAAAATAAGGACAAAAATACCCTTGTCAGGAGGGTATTGTAAGGATTCATTAATTAATATTTATATAGTGCTTAGAAAATGAATATACTAAGCATTATTAACATTTTGTATTTTTAAAGTTTTTTTAAATAAAACTTTGTATTATGCCTGGTAAATCAGGCAGTTGGTGTTCTTTTTGTTTTTTTAAGAAAGAATAAGAATAGGCAACTGATTACTTCCCAGATGCTTCATGTTTTTCAATAACTTAAATGACTGTCACAGTCCTCCCCAGTAAAATTTACACAAATGAGATTTTATTTGATAAAAAGATGTAATAAAACAACAAAGTACCTGACTTCAGGGCCGGCTTTAGGAAGAGCGGGGCCCGATTTGAATACCCGGCAGCGGTCCGGGTCTTTGGTGGCACTTTGGCGGCGGGTCCTTCACTCGCTCCGGGTCTTCCATGGCACTGAAGGAAACTGCTGCCAAAATGCTGCTGAAGACCTGGAGCGAGTGAAGGACCCGCCGCCGACATGCCGACGTAGACCCGGACCCAGGGCCGGCTCTAGGCACCAGGCACCTGGTAAGGGGCGGCGGGGGGAGCGCGGCGCGGCATTCCGC